GCTACCAGAGCGAAATCTTTATGTCTAAAGTACTTCTCTCCAAAGTTAGATCATTAAAGGTTGGAAAATGTATCAACCTTTTCAGTATTGATGTTTGGTTGAAAAATTAATTGGCCAAATCAAGTTTTAACTTTGTAAATGAACCGTAAGTGATAAAAGAAGAGAAAAACACCTTTTGCCTTGTTGGATTTCAAAAACTTTAGCTAATTATCTATAACCGGGCTTGGAGAAATAAATTTAACTCATAACTTTAGAGGAAAAACAGAATTGAACATTGATGTAATTGAGAGACATGATTAAAAGATGGATAATATAATTAAAACAAGCTGAAATTGGTGGAGTTGCAACCCGAATGACCCTAACTCGTTCTATTTCAAGATTGGGGAGCAGTACTCAGTCAATTCCACAAGATTGTGTGATTACAACTTCGAAGGTAGAGAGAGAGAAATAAATGAACGAACTTGCTTGGATTTAACTTAATTAGATCAAAAACTTACAATTTAAAAGTAACAAGCTGAAAAAAAATAAAGAATGAACTTGAAAGTAGGCTAAAGTTTAAAATAACAACACTTAAGAAATAAGGAAAAACGTGTTAAGCTAAGAACAAAGTGTCTAAAGCTGAAAATAATCACTTGAGGATGATGAATGAAGTGAAGGAGATGCTGTGTATTTTTAGGGACTTTAAGTCGGTTAGGAAGTTGAGACTTTCGTGGGGAGTCGTCCTTTTAAAACATCTTTAAGTTGGTTTGTTGTTGAATTAGCCTTCTTCCTTACATGAAAGACACGTGGAGGGACTGAGATAGACTTCTAAATTCACTAAAACTCGTGTTTCACATTAAGGGCATTTTTGGAATTGCGCAAGGCGCCAGGTGCCTGGTTCAGATTTTTTCTGCACAAAATCACAATTTGCATTAGAAATCAACTTTAAACGATGTAAAGATGTCCTATATGCATGTATAACCTAAGATTACTCCAAACAAAAGGTTTTGGACACTAAGTAAGCTTAAAATACGATTTCTGAGTATAAAACGATAGAAAATGACACCAATTTAGTTTCTCTTTAGTCTTGTAAACAAGGGAAATCAACAAGTGATTTTTATATAATTATTTTAACGTTTGGTTACATACATTTTCAAGTGATGTTCATATAATTAAGAATTTGAATGATTAATATTTGAAGTTGTTGCTACAGAAATTTTGGCCCTTGAGGATTTACCAAATTTGAAYCAATCTTCAAGAAAGAAAAAAGGGATTCGACAGCAAAATATAAGGGTTACACACCGGTTTGGTGCTAACTACACACACTCCGGTGCTTAAAGCAGAATCGAAGTTTTTATGTGAAGCGTAGCAAAGAGTAGAGTTTTGTAGCGTACCTTGATTGTGAGATTTTTCTCTTTATTTATAGATGTCAAAACCCTAGGGTAGATAGGATATATTCTCTTCTAAAATAGTTTGGGTTTGGAGATAGTACCATTGCGGGTCGGACGGTACAAGAGAATTGGAGTTGGCCCATCAATTGGCTTATTGGCGGAGCATGAAAACCCGGCGATCGAGACGGAGCGGCTCAAGATAATATGGGGTCTTGGCAAAACTTTAATAGAGAGACCTCAATATCAATTTTTTTTAAGAACAACAATAATTTTTGTGAATACTTTATTCCAATCTTTTGTTTCTTCATTAATTAATTATTTAATATATTTATCAATTGTTTTATTCTTTTAAGAATCTAATTTGTAAATCAACCCAAGCATTCCTTTAAATATTTGTTCGTTACTAGAGAAGTCAAGAACTCAAATTAATCTTTAACTCCCCTATCCCTTAATTGAACTGTATTAGATTTAATACTAAATAATTTACAACAAAAACAATAAACTTTATCAAAATCTTTTGAGTAAACTATCCTATCTCTATCATTGCTTTTACCGTTAGATAAATTTTTAGTATAATGAATATTAAAAAAAATGTCTATAATTTTCATCTTTTGGAAAAAATAAATAAACTTTTCTAATGATATGGGACATTTTTCTCCCAATAAATCAATTAATTTAGAATAAAATTTTCTCATCTTCTTAGGTCATGTATATTATAATAAGAATGCATCATACATATATTCTAAGTAAAACGTTCATATATGTTACAATCAGTTTTTATATTTTTCTTAAGCTTTTCATAAACAGATTCATATTTTCTTGTAGAAATATTGATATTCTAAGTAAATCTAAATAAATTTCACATATTAAGATATTGAACAATCAATAATATAAAATAAATTAAAAAAAAAAGAATTTGAACGAAAAAACTTGGAACTTTGAAGCCACTAGATTGATTTGAACAAATAAATATTTCTATTATAGCATTTGATAATTATATTTGGAGTTGTGAGACCATACAAAAGATCAAACATGAAAAGTTGAGATTTGAGGGAGGAGAGTTAAAGTTAAAATTAGTATAACCTACCTAATATATTTATTATAGAGTGTTTTTAGTGAAGTTGAAAAGTTTTAGCTGCGAAAGAAAAAATGAAAATATAAAGGAATATGGAACTTTTTCGAAACAATAGTTTTAGGGGTTACATGGTTGAGCTTTTAAAGAAAATTGAAAAAAATATGAACGAAAAAAGATAAAAGTTATATCCAATTAAAATTGATAAAATTTTACGAGTTTATTGGTTATGTATTTTTTATTTTCGAGAATTATATATATTATTAGTTTGTATTTTCAATATTATTAGAAAAAATGGATGAAAAGTATAATATTTTATGTATTAAATTGTATTTATAATTAAAAACTAAAATAAATAGATAACAATTTTAAAGAAAAGGAAAGAGACTGTTAGACTGGAAAATCCTAACACTCAAATTCAAATCTCCTCGGCGAGGTTGTTATACTACTTACCTTACTTCGGTCGTTTGAGTGTGTGAGCCTCATCACTCTAACAACGACTTGTGCAATACGAACCATGTCACTCGTCTCAAGACTAAGGTCCTAATAGTGGATTTTTCGACTCTTGACCCATATATCATCCACATATACTTCTAACATTCAATTTAGAGAGATTATAAATATTTTATTGACAAAAAATGAAAGAGAACTAGAGATGACAACAAAACGAGGCGGGGCAGAGCAGGACTAGGGATCATCCCTACCCGTCCGTTGGAATTTTTTTTTTATAAATATTTTAATTCTTTAAAAAAATATTTACTTTTTCGTTTACAGAATAATCTACAATTTAATTAAATACAATCACAATGTTTTAATGCGTTAGTTTTTAAATACAATGAATCTTTGATGCTATCGCTAAAGCATAACATCTTTAATGCTATTGCCATAACTGAGAGTATCGATACAATGTAAACTATCAAGCTTCAAAATCATACGATTTAAAACAATTTTTTTATGGTTAGTACACGATGGAAAGGAAAACTGGGATTAATCTAATTAATATATATATATATATATATATATATATATATATATATATATAAAAAGCACAATAGGTCAAAGATGCATAGCTCAACGATAATTGATATATACCTCCAACCACAAGATTGTAATAAAATGATAAATTCCATGTGCACCGCACGTGTTAATTTTAACCATCTTATTTGTGGTGTGTTGTTCATGAATTACTTATACATTAACCATTAATTTTAACCGATGTAGGTTACATATTTTGAATCTATACCTCAATCTCTAGACTTAGTGAATTTATTTGTAATGAACTTAATAAAACTATTCGTCTATCAAGGTGAGAATTTATTTGAATGTTATTGAATTTTTTTGGTTACTATATTGTTTTTTTTATTTTTCTTTTATAATTAATGTAATTTTTTATTTCAAATGTTTGGTAAAAAAATAATAAATTTATTGATCATGTAACCAATATCTTAATTTTTTTAATAAAATTATAAATAGTAAATTAATCAATTATCAAAATATAATAATTTTTTAACACAAAAAATTTGAATGCAAAAGGTTTTTCCTACGGTTTTTTTTTAAATCATTTAATTATAATTTATGATGGAATTCCTAATGTTTGGTAACTTGTTATCATCTATTGTTATATAAATATAAGTTTTTTTCTACAATTTTGTCCACAAAATCCATTAAATATTCTTTTTAGGGTAAGTAATATAAAAAATCGAAGTTACAGAATTTTCAAATAATTAGTATAATTATAAATATGAAATTAAATTAGTATGATATTTTTTTCATTATTCTCAACCACTAAAATAATAATATGTTTAACTTAGATAAATGTTTTTGTTGGCAATTAAAATATAGAAATACTTTATATATTTTTAATTGATATATTAGAATGCAACCTAAACTTTATTAAAAATGTTATATGAGATAATGTAATAGATATACGATGGATTAAATAAATCGAATGCAAAAAGTTAAAAGTTTTGTATTCATAGGTATAAATTGATTATATAATTAAATATTTATATATAATTATATTTAACGGTAGAATATGAAAGTTTTAGAATGTTAAAAATTTTATAATTTTTTAATTCCCTCTGTTTATAAATTTCTATCTTCGATTAATTTTCACAACAATTTAAAATCTTTATGCTAAGAAAATTAAGAAAATAATTTAGAAAATTTAAACCTATACCTATTAATAAATGAACAACAAAATAGATTTTAGTGATAGAAAAATGAGAAATTATAAATTCATAAATTAGTTTTAAATCTAATAAGATATTTCATCACCAATAGATTTGATTCATATTTTTATATTTAAATATCATTTTGAGTCAATTTTTATCCTTTTAAACTTAATGTTTTCTTGTTTTTTTTTTCCTTTCATTCAAAATTTTAGGTGAAAAATAAGACGAAATCCAAATAGAAATTTGAAATTTAAAATAATAATCATTTTAAAAACTAAATTTGTATTAATTTTTTTGAAGAAGAGATCCTATTTTTGAACTTTTCCAAATCACAAAAATTAAATCATTATCGTAATCATAATAGAAGTTGAGATTATTAAATAGGCATGCGATTAACAATAATTCATTTACAACAGAATTAGAAATTCTTTCGAATTCTCTCTGAGTCTTGAGTCTGAAGTTTGTTGGAATTTGAAGATCTGTACAACAATGGAGGGGACTCCGATTTCGAACCTGTTGRTGAGGCTGTTAGACGGGAAAACCCTAACTCTGAAATTGACATCCCCTTCGGTAGACGGCCATGAACTCAAGSGCCGTCTCTTCGACAGCACTGGAATTCCCCCAAATCAGCAGCGTCTCGTCACCGGTGTTCGCCAGATCGAGGACCATTCGGTTATATCATGTTCTTCCGGAAGATTTCCGACTGTTCATCTTCTGCTTCGGCTGGTCGGAGGCAAGGGGGGATTCGGATCGCTGCTGCGTGGGGCGGCAACGAAAGCAGGGCAGAAGAAGACGAACAATTTCGACGCGTGTAGGGATATGAGTGGGAGAAGGCTGAGGCATGTGAATGCCGA